ATTGGTTACAGATGTGTAACTATTTATTAAGGATGTGTAACTATTTGTTAAGGATGTGTAACTATTTGTTAAGGATGTGTAACTATTGGTTACAGATGTGTAACTATTTGTTAAGGATGTGTAACTATTGGTTACAGATGTGTAACTATTGGTTACAGATGTGTAAATATTTGTTAAGGATGTGTAACTATCCTTCTTCTTGGGAATATATTGTTTACATTTTTTAATTCCTGTTAAACAGTCAATTAACTGTAGGGGTCTTATAGAATAGAAAGACTTCTGTTAATTATTTTCTTAAGAGTTGTAAAAATGACTTGACACCTAGAGGTGAATTCATCATGGGAATGAAACGTTTATCTGAGATTCATTAGTTCAATTTACATCATTAGTGCATTTAAGAAAGCAACATCATCCCCTCCTCAAGATAAAAGCATTCATTAGCAAAATTTCATTCTTGAGTCATGACATTTCATGATTTTTCTCCATAAATTTTGAAAGAGCTACCCCATTTTCTGTCATTTCTATACAATTTAGAGTGTTGTTGACATGCCTGTAAACTTTTTCCTTGCTAGTCCCATTCTTTTCCATTCTATTTTGCAATTCAAAAGTATGGTACCATGAATTTTTTTTCGGAGGGAATAGATCATTAGCTGCTAGCAGAAAATTACACACAATTACACCCTGTACTACTGAAGAAAATCTTGGAATTTATGGATGGAAAAATATATAAACTAAAAAAAATATATATGTCTCAATCACATGCTTCATACTTAAAATATATTTCATAGAGAAAAATGGAATGTGTTTCAATGCCATCTGCAAAAGTTGCACACCTTCCTTAAAATGAGGATGCAATAGAGTTGATCGAATCTCACATGTTGCAAGTTATCTTTCGCAACTTTCTGTAATCACCCATGTTAGAGTTCTGGCTGATTTATCAGACCGACACCATATCTTAACTTTTTGAATGTGTAGTCTTTATATTGCGGTCTTTTGAGAGAATATGGTACATAAAAACGTAAAAAGTGAGAGGAAATAGATGACCGTAAAACCACATGTTCACATACAAGTTCTATTAACAATAGCTATATGTCCTCCCTTTTATCTGCCATTGCATTCCCCAAGTACAATTGTAAGTTATACTTTATAAAACTTTGCCATGAGGAATGCATTTGAACCTAAATGCCAATCCTTGGATGTAATCACAACAAAATCACTAGAACAACATGGCAAAGAATAACACTGAAAAAATGTTACACCTTGGGAATCTACAGAGATTATTGCCATGAGTATTAAATTAACAACCCTGATGCCAAAAGGTTAACAATTATATTACTATACTCTGACTGGGAAGGATTACATGTATTTTAGTTTTGATGCTGCACAGATCTCAATGCCCTCAAATGCATCTATTATGGCTGCCTTTCATGGGAGTTTGAATACAAAATTAATGCCAATTCCTTGGGGTTGTGATCTCCCTAACATTAACATAATTGAGATTTTCAAAACAGGCTTGCACCTACCTGAAAACCCATTGCACTTGAGAAAAATGGTGAAAAATTTGCATATTTTGACTGAATTTTGAAAATGAAACTTTTGTATCAACTTGAGGAAAATTTCTGTGGAGAACACTGTATAGATAACAATAATATGAAAAAATGCCATCTATTAACTGCAGTTCTGATTGGATATACCTCACTTTTGTCAACCTAATCTGATAAGTCGAGGTTAGAGCAAAGGATTATCACTTAAACGAAGAGCGTAGTACACTCTCTTTTACAGAAGTGCAAAGGGTGAAATGTAATTACGGAAATCAGTGTTTTTAGGTGTTAATTAACCATACTTTTTAAATCTCTAAAATATTCTAACCGTGTTCCACAATTTAAATTAACCAAATCAATGGCATTTTGTAATATCACTCAATCTAATTGTTTCCTCTGAAGTATGTGCTAGTAATAGAGAACTCTGCCATTTAGCGTAATCCATATCTATTATTTTGTATGAGAAGCATGCAATCAGATAATACAGTGTCTAACCCACTCATTAAGACTTCATTCATACATACCACATACAACTCCCACATGCATCCACCAATCAGACAATTTTACATTTATTCTTTCAACCAATCAGACGCCATCAGAGAGGATTATGGGTAATTTTATCAAATTTGGACAGGAGTCTTTGACTCTTGTCATGGAATGTTCCCAGAATAAGTGGGGGTGTAAGTTGTAAATCATGGGCTCTGTAGGTGTTTGAAGTTCGATATAGTCTGTGGGTTAACCTTGTTACTTATAATTGTTGGAAATGATCTCATCGGAGATTTCATAATTTGGTTAAAAGAGATAAGTGTTTCTAGTGGATTGGCTTCTATGAAACTGACGCAACAATTTTTCTATGTTGCCCTCTTTGGATGAGATGCAATAGTGAAGCATAAAATGTCCTGAATTGTATTTATTTTAGATCTTAAAATGGTTCAGACAGGGAACACATCACTGTTGATGGTGATCAAAAATCTTTATTTTATACAAAATACCCCGTTATTGTTTTTCAAAAAAGGATCAAGAAATCTCAGACGGAGAAGTGCCTTGTATCCAACAAATAGAATGCATCTCCAATAAAAGATGCTACTTGTTAGGATTCCACAGGCCAAGTGTCTATAAAATAATAACAAGGCCAAGAAGGAAGCTAAAGTTCTCCTTTATTAGCTTAATCTGATAAGAACTACCTGAATTCCGTGGTTAATGTCTAATATAGGCTGATAATATGTTATGTTGCGATATCATAATATTCAACACTGAGATTGTTCTGATGTGCTAATGTATGAGTATATGTTTGTGCTGATATATGCTTGTGCTTATATATGTATGTGCTGATATATGTTTGTGCTGATATATGCTTGTGCTTATATGTGTATGTGCTGATATATGTATGTGAGCACACTGGCTCAAAGAGAAATCAATGTTTTAAGGATGTAATGTTATGTATGTGCTTATATGCATGTGCTAATATTTGTATGTGCTGCATATAATGTATGTGCTGATTTATGAATAAGTATTCAGAGCTGTAAAATCATTCCATTTCCCCCCAAAAAACATTCAATTAAAATCTTAAACATTGTATTCTGAAAAAGAGATTCCCAAAATAGGTTCTAATCAAAGAAATGTTCTACTAAAATGTTAGACGTGTTTGAGTTGAACCCTAGTAAATCAGAGCAACTCAATTACTGGCAATTCCAGATAACTCGAAGCCAATTTAATTTGGTGGTTTAGCAAATGGACAAAATTTCACAATTCAAAGCTTTGCATATTATCCACAGGAAGTAATCCCTTGGGAATATTTTCATTCAGTGAAAAATCCCTGAGCGTTATAATCTGCATTGTGTTGACTTATTGTTTTAGAATAATTGTGGATTTATTTTTAATATGTTAAAGTTTTAAATGTTAGCATTACTATTTAAATGTTAACATGACTATTTCAATTCAATTTATACATATGTTTCCAATTTTATTTGTTATCTCATAATTTTATGAAAGATTATCACACAATTTTAGACCACTGAAATATTCTCACATATAGGCTCATAGTAAACGATCTGAACAAGATATACACAAAACTCATACATTGAATCACAGATAATTACATTTATAATTAAATCTTTCAACTTAAAAATGTAACAATACAGAAAGAACTGTCTCTAATACAGAGTGGCATTATAAGCAAGATAGTTAGGCGATATAATACTGTACAACAGTTACTCAGCTGAATTTACTATAGCAACATTCAGCTGCAATTACTATAGCAACCCCTATCACTAAGCTGCCATCACCATAGCAACCTTTAGATAACAGGCTAACATCACAAAATGACATCCAAAAGTCACAATTCAAAGTCACAACTTCAGATTAACTAAATAATGTCACATTACCTAAATGGTTAAATAAGTCACATGGTTTAACTTGTTGATAAAGTCACATGGTTTAACTTGTTGATAAAGTCACATGACGATGTTCATGACATTTCTAGTTGACTAAATCATATGACTTAAACTATATATATAGTATATTAGTTTAGTAAGATACAATACCTCATTAGTTGAAGAAATCAAACTAATTAATTTACTGTTAAAGTCACTTGATCTTATGAATAATTCAATCACATGACTATATTAGTTAAGTAAGTCACATTACGACATTAGTTAAGTTAGTCACATGGCCACATTAGTTTAATAAGTCACATGACCGTATTAAGTCATATGGCCGCATATGTTAAGAAAGTCACATGACCACATAAGTGAGTCACATCAACGGGGCCAAAAAGTCAAATGACTAATTGATAAAGCCATGTGACTGGATTAATTTATTAAACAAATCAAAAGTTCTACAAACATTGAACAATATGACTATACACTGTAGATTTTGCAGTATATACATTATTACATGATGTCTAAAAATACTCTGTGGAAAAGTTAAGAACTTCTGTGGTTACAATGTACATCGTAATACCTAGAATATACACTTAAGGGCTATATATATATACATGTATATATAGGCATAATAACTATCTTCTTATTATATTACTGCATTATATAAAGCGTCACTAACTCAAATATTTTACAGTTAATCATGAACTCTTTAGATTGCATTTATATTATTACATTATATTGCCATTGACTTAGTTAGATATGGCAGTAATATATGGCGGTAATATATGATGTATAAGAATGCGTTATATCATGCTATATAGATAATAATATCTTTATATGTATAAAATCTACAGGGTGAACCAATGAACTAGCAATTTTTCTAAATAGACACCGTGAAAATTTGTTGACAAGTATGTTGTGTGTGATATATAAATTTACAGCAGATTAAGTTAAATTTCAAAATGTATATTACATGTAAGTATTCATTTATCTATTTAATAAGGATTGATTAAAAAGTTGCATATTTATTGGCCCATCCTGTACATGGATAGAAATAAAATGTAAACTCTTTTATAATACTTCAATACAACAATAATATTGACCAACCTAATCTAATATTACTCATTAATTGGAAGCTAACCGATTTTATGGCTTTTCTACTAATTAATGACTTTTAATTACAATGCTAATTAATAATATTTCTTTCATATTTTACTTCAGAAATTAAAATTTGATGTTGACACTTGAAACGATTAAATGATATAATTGTCTTCAATTAAGTCTAATTTAAGCTGATTAATTAACATTAAATAAATAAAAGCAAAATCAAATTTTCGGTATAGACATAGTTGTATGTCAGAATCATATAACAGGACTATTTACGTAATACTTGGTTTAAAAAGGGAAAAAGCTTGTAAATGAATATAAGTAAACACAGTAAAACTCTGATGTGAACACCCTTGTGATCAAGCAAAAAAGTGTTCAATCAAAACATGGACAATGTGAGATTTGAAAAAATGTTCAAATTGAGGATCAATTTTATTGAGGTGTTTAAGTTGAGAAGTTTCACTGTAAGCAAACCAAGGGGCATTTACAATGTTAACAAACCTGACCTCTTATATTTAACCATAATTCCATATGTCGTTTTGATCCCATATGTTTCATAATCCCATATGTTTCATAATCCCATATGTTCCATAATCCCACATGTTCCATAATCCCACATGTTCCATAACCACATATGTTCCATAACCACATATGTTCCATAATCCCATACGTTCCATAATCCCATACTAGTTTGTCCAACGTCAACTTATGGACATTCCAATTAAACCTGCCATCTAATTTTACTAATAATCACTAAATATACAGTCTTGGGGACAAATCAGATTCTATATTCTTACTGAACACATCTTTATATGAACATTTCTTATAATATCAGAATGTTATGAACAGAATTAGTCCTACTCGACTTAATAACATACAGATGATAATTCTTGATGTATAAATTAACAGTTTAAACAAATATACAATTTTCAGTTTGTTTTAAAGTAAGGAAATCTGTAAATTGTTTGTAAGGTAAGGTTAACTTATTGCCGCAATAGGATGTGTCTATTTACAATAGCCTAATAGTTCATTCATTGTTACATTTATCAGAAAACAGCCAGGATAAAAAATCAATATCTTTAACACAATTAACGGAAAATTGATACAATTTCCTTTTTCTTAAGAAATCTAGTCCATGATTTACTCAAAAGGTGGCAGAGTCGACCCATTTGACCAGTAATCTTTGCTTTCCTCAAAAACACAATATTGATTTGAATCATTTTAATTTATTAATGATTATTATTTTTAGTAAGCATATGGTAATTGGAGTAAACAATCTGGATGTTTCAGCCAAAATCTCATTTCACCTCGACATGCGGTTAATCAAAATGCGAATGACAATGACCTTGGATTGAAGGGTGCCAGGTTAAAGGTCATGTGATGTCATAGGGTCAAGGTCAAGTTAAAGGTCAGTTAAGCTCACATGCAAACTAGAGGTGAAGGTCATGTTGCTACTCATTGGCATACTCCATCCTAGATCATGATATATGCCCTCACTTGGATATATATGCCCATGCTATAAACTGACCTTTGAAAGGTGAACATATCACTAAACAAGGGTATATATCAAAAACTAGGGCATATCTCACAATAAATGAGGGCATTTATCCTAGCATAGAAACATAAAGTACAACATACCTTAACAAAGTTGCATCCCAATATACAGAAATTGAAATTGAAAATAATGCTTCAAACTTTTGCCCTATATATAAAATCAGTACCATATATATTCAATGATATTCTAGGTCAGGTATGTTATGCATGAAATAAATATTAAAGCAAACTTAGTATACAATGTACAGCTTTATAAAATAACAGAAATAAAATAAAAATATGAACTAAAGTTTTACTGCAGTCATCATAATGTTTTCAAACACGATTAGATTTATATATATTATTAATATTAAATCATGCAAATAATGTAGTTATACTTCATATAATTAAAAACTGTTAACTGTTAATATTAAATATTATATTATTAAACTATTTATTATATTAGTAGTTAAGGTGAGGTCATCTAAAATAATTATTTTCAATTATTTAGAAATTGTGCTCTCTCATATTAATCTCATTTGTGAGCTACGTTTTCAAACCTTTGATTAAAGGGGTGACAAAGAATTAAGCTCAAATGGAGTTACATTTCTTGTATATTTACCTCTTAAATACCCAGAATGCCGAGATTTCTCGTCACCTTGGAGATGACCTTGAAACCCAGAGTGAAGAGTTAATCTGTCACAAAATTTCGCACTAAAATTGCTCTTATTTGGACAATATTCATCTACTTTACACAAAAGTTGTTTTAAAATGTGTAAAAACGAACCCTGCCATCTAATTTTACTAAATTGAGTATCACACATTGTATATGTAGGTAGTAAAATTTCAAAAACTGGAAAAAATGAAAAATTCTCCTGTTTGAACCAATTTTAGAGCCTGGGATTCAAGAGGTTACTAATACTTAAGGAGGATTGGTTCATGCCATACTATTGCAATAGGACTTTCAAGCAACAACCAAACAAGTGAGTATATTTCATTTTACTTTACTCAATCCAAAGATTTGAAGTAAAGCTGCAAAACCTTCTTGGTTCTTCCAAAATATTTTATTAATTAAACAAAATCTTGAGATTGAATTGTTATTATTACATGTTGTTATTATGTTGACCTTGACACCATATAAGGATAGGGGCGTGCCCCAACTGACCACTCAAAGTGCACCCATGTTGTTTGGTGCATGCTTGTGATTTAATGAGTGTATGTTAGTAAAGCAAATAATAAAACACTTAATTGAAGTCCCTTAAATATAAAAAATAAGATATAGATAGTACTAATTAATTTCAGTTATAAATCATAACATTAATAAAAAAAATTGAATACTTTTACATATTGTTTCATTGCACATTGAGTTAGTAAGATGATGGCACGAGTTTCTTCTACTTAGATCACATCTGATTCTGAATTTTTGCCCACTTATTTTATATTGCCCAGTTTACTTATCTTATTTAGATTTAATTTTATTTACCATTGGCAACTTTATTCATATCTCGAATCTTTATAAATATTTAAATATTCATCTGAATTTTATAAGCTTATCTGATTTTGTCCCCTTTAATATTAACTTTTACAATAAATCCTATCTTTACTTCTTTTTAAATTAGTTTATTTATCTTATGCATTGTAAAATTTTGCCGAATTCTAAAGTTTCTTCAACATTTATTGTATTACCCTATTTATTTATTAATCTATGTACTTATCTACATGTATTTTCTTACATTTTATCGTACATTTTATTTATACTGTACAGGAAGGCTGATCCATTGTATTGGATTTCTACAACATCAGAAATGCATTTAGGAACATTTTGAAGTATTTAGTTGAGACAAAATAAATGGTCTCTCTAACCTAATAATCATTATATCTTAATTTTTGTATCTTAACATTTCCTAGATCTAATTATTGTTTCACAAAGTTTTCTCCCTAATATTGCAGAGTTCAAATTCAATCATCAAATATCTAAATTCTTCTAACCTAATGTTATATACATATTTGGCAAAAATACCAGAGAGAGAGAGAAAAGCAAAAACTTCTATTCATGTTCTCTTATTTCAATGAATCACTTATTTTGGATAATTCTTGAATTAGGGCTTATTGGACTACTACAAATGATGCTTCCTTGTAATAAGCAAAATCGTGTAACTTTTATTTCTTGTGTACGACTCTAGGGCTTACTGAACTACTACCAGCAAACCTTCCCTGTGCATATAGATTAGTGAAGACTTCATCACTGTCAGGACTAACAGGGGTTCCAGGACTCAAAGAAGACAGGGGATTCTCTATGACTTTCCCATTTGACAACTCCAGTTCTACTGAACTAGTATGACGTCTTGCTTTATTCTTGGACCTGCCCTTAACTTCAATACTTATATGGTGTTTGTCGATTTGTTTCTGGATTATGATTGGTTCCGAGTCTACGTCAGAGTCTGAGCTACTACTGCTGGAGCTACTTGAATCATCCCCACTATCAGAATGAAGGATATAAGGCTTGTTTAACATTTCTAATGATTCTAAGGGGTCTTGTTCTGCCTCATTATCAAGGTTGAAATTAGGCTCCATAAAACAATCATCCCCAGCCTCATAGCCTTGGTGAGTGGTAATGGCTGATGCTTGAGCTGTTGTGACTGTCTCTATAGTGTGGGTATGTGTTACTGAGCTGGTTGATTGATGATGTACCACATCTTCCATTGAATACTGATTTGAAATAACCTCACTGTAATGTTCACCCATGGCTCCTTGACCTTGACCTTCGACATGTGCTTCTTGTAAACTACTATCACTAGAGCTTGATATTGAACCTGCCAACAGACGTTCTGTACTTCCTGAGACACTGTCATCGATATCAACATCTGGAATACCACGAACTCTCATCTTCTTTGTTGTCACTTTCTCATCAATGATCTCCTCAGCTTTAACTTCTTTCATGTTTTCCATTTCCTCTTCTTCGAGCTCCGGCTCTTCTTGAATCTGTGCAAGCTCATCTAAGTCTTCCTCATAGAGCTCTTCTGGTGGTTTATCAATAATAGCTGGGCCTTCATACTCACTCTCACTTGACATTTCCTCCTGTTCAACAAGGTCAACCTTAGCTCCTTTAAGTACACCTTCCTCAAATGCTTTAACTTCTTCCTCTTCAGAGAAACTTGACGTGGTCTCATGGCCATTGCTCTCCTTCTGTCTGATTTGTTCAATAACTTGATGGACTACTTTATGGGATGATGACCCAGAGGACTGGTAAGGCATAGCGTCGGTGTCTTCAGAGGAGGGTGACTGAATGTTGATGTGGACTTGAGCAGGAGGTTTTATCCCAGAATTCACCTGTGTGGCCTCAGTTGACCTTGTCTTGTGTCTCTGTGGAGGAGGTGTTGGTAGCTCCAAGGAGCTTGATGATGAGTTATCATCATTCAAAATATATGTGAACTTAGCAGGTCCTTGCTCCTCATTATCAGAATCTGATAGTCCTATTGATATTGGACGATCACCTTTCACAATCTCTGCATCATCGAAAGAGTCATCGGATGCTGACCTGTGCAGGCTGTTGTCTTCATCTGAAGAGTTACTGTCTGCATAACGAAGTCCATTTCCAGCTATTGTGAGAGCCTTCTTTCCTTCAGTTCCCATATTAGGATCTATTTCAGGATCCCCAGAGGCACTTTGTGTAATCTCATTTTCTGATTTTAATTTAGATTGCTTAGTAACAGTCGTCGTGGTAACTGTGCCATGTGATATAGTAGCCATGGTAACTGAATGCTCATCAGCTCTAGAGTCTGTTGTAATCTCATTGGTAATGGGTGGGTCCTCAATTGGAAGAACTCCTGAATCTATTCCCATACTATATGATGTATAAGTTGATTTCTCGTCATTTCTCTCGACATCTTTACGATTCTTGTTAGTTTTTGTTATGGTGTGTCCAAATGAGGAGAAAGTAAGTCCTTGTGATTGGCTAAATTCCGTACTCTCGGTGGATGATTGACGTTCAAACTCAATATTGGATGCTGGCCTAACAACGGAGAAACTCACTGGCTCACTAGCATCAATGGTTGCTGCAGTTTGACTTGTTCTAATCTTAATCTCATGCTCTGATTGGCATTTGGAAGTTCCTTTGAAGGAGGATATTGCAATGACATGGGTGTTTGGACCTGGAGGAGTTGATTCACAAACTATGACATCATGCGGTATTGTGTGGTCATAGTCACCATTGGTTGACTCAAAGTTTGTGTTGACAGAGGATAGAGCAATTGTAGCAGATGTTAAAGCCGACTCTTGGTTAGATGGGATACTGCTAATTTGAAGGTCATTCATATCAATTGGGAATCTTTGTATGGGGTCTATTAATTGTATTTCAGGGCTTTCCTGAAACTGGACAGATTTGGTTCTTTTCTTTTGGGACTGTGCAACTTTTGCGTCTGTGTCAGTTTCAGGATCATCTACTGAACTCCGAGGGGCTTCTTGTACATACTGACCATCTTTTTGCAGAGTTTCTGCACCTTCAACTTTGGAATCTTCAACTCTATCATTCTTATCATCTTCTGCTTCTTCATTTTCTTTACCATTGTTAGATAGGTTCTCACTTGTACTTTGCTCAGGTTCATAAGGGTCTTCAAGCACTTTATTTGGATGCTCCTGTACAAGTTGAACTGCATCAAAGATGGCCTGTTTCACCAGATCCTCTGCAACGTCAATAGTTGGGCTGCTATTGGCACTGTCTTTAAATGTTACAACTTCTATGTGTTCTTTATCTTCTTTAAGCTGTTGCTTATCAGTCACCTGTGTAATGTCTGCATTGTCCAACCTTTGTTTAGTCTCAGCAGTGCTGTCAGGTTGCATCTGATGCAAAACATTTTCTAAACTTTCGTGGCTTTTTTCCAGCAGTTCAATGGAATTTTCCATTCTCATTATGGAAGTTTGCTTAGTTTCAGCAATGGAATTTTCCGTTGTTACAAGGGAATTTTCCGAGGTATCATTGTTTTTGTCAGAATCTTGTGTCTGGTCAACCTTACTTGGGTCATAGTCATTTGAGTTTTGAGGAATAGATATTGGAATAAAGGTGGTTTCAACGTGAGCATTATTCTTAGTTTCACTGCTGTCTTTCTCATCATCGTCATCATTGTCATCTGCATCTTCATGGTCATCTTTTACATCATGAACTTCATCCCTAAGCTTGTTCTTATTTTTTCTAATCTGTTCTAAAATTTCTTTCTCCATTAAAGGACTTACTGAATGATCTGTACTTGAAAAGCTATTTTTAGGAGGCAATTTGCGAATTTTTACAAAATCTGAATGTCTCTGATTTTTTGGTGACCTTTCGGGTGATTTTGGTGGCAATGGGTGCTGTAAATTACTTTGAATTTTTTGTAATGTTGCTCTTTGTTGTTCACGAAAATTTGGACTTTTCGGTGAAACTGGTGATAGGGGTGATTTTTGCATAGATGTTGTGGTGGCGTGTGATTGTTGAAGAAAATGTGTGCTGTGGTCTATTCCACCAATGTACATTCGACGGTGAAGTGTATACTCAATATCAGTGTCATCAACTGTTTCACTATCTTTAACATTTGATTTATTTGGTGTATCATATGATTTTTCAGTATCCTTTAATATTGATTTAAGTGGAATTGGATTTGGTTTAGGCTTATCAGAAACCTGGTTTAAAGAATCATTTTCAACCACTGAAGAGACAGACATTTTGGAATCTTCAACAGTGTGTGAATTTGTTTCAGTTGTTGTATGTTCTATAGTGTTGGTTATTACATTGGATGTAGTTACTTCATTTATCACACTTGTTTCAGTCACAGATGCATTCTGACTTTCATGGCACACCACACTTTCAACATGACCCACCCCATCTTCATTGCGACTCACCACATGTTCACTGGTATTATCAGAGGCACTTTCAATATTATCAAACCTACTGATCACATTCTCAAAGGTTTCATCAGCATCTGTTGATGATTCCTTTTTCAAGTTATTACCACGAGTGATGCTATCAACAGTATGATCATCCAAGTTACTATGACTACCATCAGAGTTACTATGACTACCATCTATTTTATCATGACTTTCTACAGATTCAGAGAAAGTGTTTGCTAATTTCTCATCCCCGATAGATACTTTTTCTGTGATAGCATCAGGGGACGTAGGACTAGCATTCTCTGTTACCTTTAGAAGGTCATTCTCGGAAATATGCAAAACTGTAGAAAACACTTCCTGAGTGGAAGATCTCCGACCTTCCGCCAGATCATAAGAATCATGGGATATGTTGTCATCATTGTCATTAGCATTTTGATTGGCCGATGGGCCACTAGTATCGCAACTAAGGTTACTGGTGTTATAGGTTAGTTTATAATAATATTTAGACTCTGCACCTGATTGGTCCACTGCTGGGATATCGTGGTCCATCTGCTCTCTGATTGGCTCATCCTTCAACCCACCGTCCTCATCATCTCTAGGTGGTTTTGCTTCACTTTCCTCCTTGATATTTTCATTCTGATCAGCACCCTCAGAGGGCGCTGGTATATTACCTGATTGGCTGCTATCATCATGAACTTCAGCTTTTTCCACCAATCGCGTTGAAGCAACTGAGGGCGTGTCTCTAGTCTCTTTCGGAGATTGTTCTAGAATGTGAGAACCACTTGATGTGCTGTTGTGCCCGTAATTGGAGTTAAGCGTACTTGTATTGGATTTGTTAGCACCATAAGACCGTGACGCTATTGAACGTGCACTAGTTGACCTAAAATCAATCAAAGACAACAGCTTAATGATAAAATATATACACCAATGGAGTTTAAGGTCAATAAAAAATTAACATGTCGAGGCATATGTATATTTTGATAAATTTGTCTCTTCTATAGTGCCGTATCTACAATATACATGTAATATGAACATAAAGAATACAATGTTAGGTGAATTTGTATATCAATGTTTCTTTCAGCAACATATTTTAGCAAATCCACTCTTTGAAAATCAAAACTTAAGAAGAATTGTGAACAAATAACAAAAGTTTAAAGATAAAGTTCCTAATTCTATTGTTCACTGAAATTTCTTGTGTTTGTAATAGTTGACGAGGCCTCGCAGATTTGCCCATTCCCCATAATTGATCTTAGATATGGGATCTACTATACAAAGCCCATTGCAACACACCTCTGCATGTGACATTTATATACAGTGTATATACAGGCTGTGCAGTCATTTATTACTTATGTTCTCATATATGGTTATAACGACATCGTAGTAACAACCAAATATGGTAGAAGCAACCAAATATGGTATTAACAACCAAATATGGTAGAAACAACCAAATATGGTAGAAGCAACCAAATATGGTAGAAATAACCAAATATGGTATTAACAACCATGGTAACCAAATATGGTAGTAACAACCAAATGTGATTAAAACAACCAAATATGATATTTAACAACCCAATATGGTAGTTACAACCAAATATGGTATTAACAACCCAATATGGTAACCAAATATTGTAGTAACAACCCAATATGGTAGTTAAAACCAAATATGGTAGTCACAACCTAATATGGTAACCAAATATGGTAATAACAACATGAGAGCATAATTGAGGGTATGGCATAAGCACCAGACCATCAGTCAATAATAAGTGAAGTGAATATTACTAAGGACCAAATTATTTCAATACCGGTAGGAAAATACTGAACCAATTTGAGCCTGCTTCAAAATTTATCACAGATAATACTTCCTAAATTTCAATTGTCTTTTTTTACAATGTAACTACAGTATAATGTTTTATATACATGAAAATTGTAATTCTATGATAAATCCCAATAAATTTGAGTAACAGGCCCCATGGTACAGTTTTGAAGAGCAGATCTGAAATCCTTATGGCATACCCTGTACACTTTAGTAATAAGCCATATACCACTTAAGTTACATTCAAACAATACATCACACACATGTTACACAAACATACAATCAATTGATCAGCCAATCAATCAAGTTTTTTGATCTCCATGCAGACATTCCATCCTTCATTTCTTCAACACATGTGTACTATGTGAAAAGGTTAATGAAATGAGTTTGGAGATGAGAATTTATTAATTTTTATAACATCCATGCCATACGTGTATATATACAGTATATGAAACTGAGAAAATATAATGACATTAAAATTCAAACTTGACAGACACCAATTTTAAAATGTTCACTTTCACAGAGTGCACTTTTGATTCCATTCACAAGACAGAGTGCACTTTTGATTTCACATATAAGACAGAGTGCACTTTTGATTTTACATATAGCGTGCACTTCCATTTACAAAACAGAGTGCACTTTTAATTCCATAAATAAGACAGAGTGCACTTTTGATTCCATATAAACAAAACAGAGTGCACTTTTAATTCCATATATACAAGACAGAGTGCACTTCTGATCTGATTTCATATACAAAACAGAGTGCAATTTTAATTCCATATATACAAAACAGAGTGGATCTTTGATTCCATATACACAAGACAGAGTGCACCTTTGATTCCATATATACAAAACAGAGTGCACTTTTGATTCTATATATACAAGACAGAGTGCACTTTTGATTACACTTACAAGACCGAGTGCACTTTTAATTCCATACACAAGACAGAGTGCACTTTTGATCTGATTTCATATACAAGACAGAGTGCACTTTTGATCTGATTCCATACACAAGACAGAGTGCACTTTTGATCTGATTTCATATACAAGACAGAGTGCACTTTTGATCTGATTTCATATACAAGACAGAGTGCACTTTTGATCTGATTCCATACACAAGACAGAGTGCACTTTTGATCTGATTTCATATACAAGACAGAGCGCACTTTTGATCTGATTTCATATACAAGACAGAGTGCACTTTTGATCTGATTCCATACACAAGACAGAGTGCACTTTTGATCTGATTTCATATACAAGACAGAGTGCACTTTTGATCTGATTTCATATACAAGACAGAGTGCACTTTTGATCTGATTTCATATACAAGACAGAGTGCACTTTTGATCTGATTTCATATACAAGACAGAGTGCACTTTTGATCTGATTTCATATACTAAGACAGAGTGCACTTTTTTTATACAAGACAGGATGCTGGTATTAAAATTATGAACACAAAAGAGAACTGATCTGTTTGATTGAAATCTCATTAATTGAAGTTAACAAACTGGGGCATTTCACAAAACATAAACCCAATATCACTGGACAGATGGAATTCAAAAATATATTTATGGAATTCACAAATTCTTATTGTTTCTATTACAAGTAATTTGATATGGTTTGGTTGTACCCTGATGTTTACTTTCATAGTTCATATGACTTGAGGGGGTTTCATCTGCTTGTGCTCTCTTGTGCTAATATTACTCAGGCAGTAGTGACTGATTCAGATTGCGATAGAAGAGCAGTGATGTTTACTCCAGTGTAAACCAATGAAACCTATTTTTCAATACCACTTCAAATAAAGTTGACCTCAGAGGAAGGAGGATTGCCTCCCAGGACCTAAACTCGATATTTTCCAACAATGAAATTGTCAAAATGTCGTTGTTTTCTGAAATTACAACTGTAAATTCAAAATAAACAGTCCAAAAGATTCGAACCAATATCTCGATCACTTGCGAGTTTGGAAATCAGACCAAAATTCACGATTCAAATGTTGAAGTGAACAAAATGGTGCCTGTTTGAATTCAAATTTTTAATCATATGCCCATATATGGTTAAAATATCGATGTTGCATTCTGGGAGCCAGTTCTCCTTGACTTCAGGGTGTAATTTCATAAGATGCTTTGAGGCAAATCCGTGCATCTTCCAAAAATTGGAATTCTGAATACCATCGGGCAAGAAACACTATTGATTAGTGACCACAAGCTATTAACATTTCACGGACTGATCTACAGGGTGGCCAAAAAACAGAACCCAAAAAACTTTAAGGTTTAGACTTCTGCTTTTGGGTCACTCTGTACTTGATGCATTGTGTATTTGTAGCCTTATACCCGAAATGGGTGAAGATTAACAAAATAAAATGAAAACTCTAACACCTTGACTTGAAGCACTGCATGGTTGGACTACAATACATGACAAGGACAGGGGTTTCATAATGTTAAACTGTCTTCTCAGCAAGTTTCATAAAAAGCAATTACTTTGGTCTAGTCTTGCATCAAGCCTTTCAAATTGTGTGACATTTTGGAATATATTGCCTTAGTAGTAACATGGGGGGGGGTCCAGACCCAAAGTACAAAACCATTTCTTGCTAATTCCCTACTATCACACCAAACTAGTTCTCACTACATTCTCGAAAATGGGCTTAAACTGTGCACGAACGGATTTGAAGTACTAGGAACCCAATAAGAACCGTTTGGGATCTGTTTACAAACTTCATGAAACTACTAGAACGAGTAGGTTCTCCAGCACTTAGAGCATGCTCAAAATTTTCTGGTGATCGTCAAAACGTTGCCGAATCGGTTTTAAACTGTGTGCGAACTGAATGAACGTAGATACAACGTTCTACAATCTGTTTACTAACTTCATGGACTTTCCTGGATGGGGTATGTGATTTAGAATTTTGAATCGATTCAAAATTCGATGGCGACCATACCGTTCTGTAATCAGGTCATGATGACCTTCTAGACTAAGGGACGGTTTCTACTACGTTGCACACCGACGTAGTGCGACCTGAACGAACTGCGAATGAGATTGACGTATTGAAGACTGCTAAGTAGCTAATTATTTTAGACATATATCCCGACCGCAGCTAGATTGAGCCCGTTTTACGACATTTTCGTAGGACTGGCAAGAACGGGTAAGAACTAGTTTGGTGTGATAGGGGGGTTAGCAAATTGCAAAATCAATTGTTATAAGCAATTGTGACATATAAGAAGCATTCTTAAGTTCACAATATTTTCAATCACAATATTTGAAGAAACACACCCTTGATTTAAATACTACAAATGGAACAGTTGTTAACTTGAACACAGTTGTTTGTGACATATATTTCCAACCAAAGACTGGACCAGAGAAGACAGTTGAACATCACAGCATGAGCAGTTTTGGCAAAAACAAGGAGAAAATTCAGTGAGAGATTTCAACTTACGGTCTGCGAGAATTTTCAAGCAAATTTTTTGAAAACGTGTTAGTAACTATGACGATTGTAAAACATATGAACATACAATTAGTGTATGTGATAGAGAACATTATGACGTTTATACTTCATATTCAAAAATACATAGTTGTTACTGGATATACAAAAACAATAGTTGTGATGACATCATAATTGAAAATAAGGAAGATAGAGTGTGACATAACATGTCTCAAAAAACAAGCATTAACATGTGTTGTCTTGGAAACTAAGCAAAACAAATCAAAATCATAATAATAATGCAGATTTTCTACCTCATTCCATATATGGTATGATATAATACAAATACTCAGGCATTATGGGATATGGAACATTCCCGCAAAGTTTTCAGTTGAGAATCACAATGGGATCAATTTTTAGGTATCATATACAGGGTGTCCATAAAGTGTCTTCACTTTACAAACTTTGTATTGTAAAGAGACTTTGTAGACACCCTGTACATCATTCTACAATTGATTACCATTTCTCAACAGTTTGATTTGCTTCTTAAAAGAGAGCTTCGTCTAGATGAAGGAACTACATAATGCGCTATGCTTTGGACTCAGAGTGACAACTGGTAAGCATAGAAGATGTCTAATAATCACCAAGGCACAGAGGGCCCATAACTGGGAATGCTCCATGTCTGGAATGCCTTTGTATATACTTGGTTCTCCTTCATTCAACACTGAATAGGGATGTCATATACAAGGAGCATGTCATTATTAAAGACATATCAAAATTGAAGTTGCTATTTCTTTAACACACATCCCATATTAGCCATCAGGATGTATTTTTTAAAGTTGATTAATTGATAGGTTAAGAAGGCAAAATGTCAGATTTCATGTCAGATATCAGAGAGTTGAGAATTCACCTTAAGGTAATTACTTTCAAATTATATTGGGCCTTGACCATAAATTGTTTTACTTCACCTACCTTAAGGCATAGATGTTAATTAACTAAAAAAATTACCATTTCAAATACTTTTTAAATGATAGCCCAAGCTAACATGAAGGTAGGTTTTTAAAGTAATATATTTTTAACACAAAACTTTAGGGGAAAAGCTGAAGTTTCTTCTTGGCTTCATATGGCCTATTTAATTTGGAGGGTTTCTGTTCTTCAAATGTTGCCCTTTGACCAGCAATTACCTGGCTTGGGGGGGGGGAGTGGGAAGCTAGGTATATGGGATGTGTGTTTATAACAAGCAGCATTGAAGGACAATCAGAACCTATTGGTCAGATATACAGTAATATAGGTGCAATTAACAATTTTTATAAATTGAGATAAAAATTAATTCAAAGTACTCAAATTTCAATGTTTTCCATTTTTCAGAATGGTACTACTGATTTTCAAGTATGTCCAATGTGTGTGGATTATGTCTATTCAATCAGAATGGTACCACCATTAATGTTTCTTTCCAAAGGATAGTTCAAAGTGGTTAATTTCTATGTTTTGATATCAGTCTGAATATTCAAGGAAGACTTTAAATTGAATGTTAGTTCACCTTTAATACTGTATATCCCTAACAATTGGTTTGGAAGGAATGAAGCATAAAATCTTGCAAACTCCAAAACTACGAAAAATTTTGAAAATTTGACTTAAATTCACCTCTCTGCGGAACGAGCCCGGGTACGTTCTGGCGATCTTTAATAAAATGAGCATTTTATTTTCAACAAAATGAAACAAAATCTCCTTCACAATATGCTAATAATAAAAAAGGTTTATGAATCTCAAACTATTCATGAGTTGTTTTTTACATTGAAACAACAAACATTAAATGTTAGCCAACGAGTTCTACCTTTAAGAACAACATTTGTATTTTTGAGTCCTTGTTTTTCGAACAATCATTTTATTTCATAGTAGCTTTAAGTGAACCATGGCTAACATTTAAAGAAGCCTGTTTACATATTATTACCAGTTATAATTCTTTAAAGGCCCCATGAAATTTTAAACCACAAACAACTCAGACTTGATAATGAAATGACTTGATTCACGAATGTTATTTCTAAATAAATATACATAGGGCCTTTAATATTTTGTATAGACAAACAACCATATACATATATACATGTACGTATGTATACAATTATTTTATCAAGACAAAAATATCACATTGAAAACTTAATAAGACAAATTAGACACATATTCAGTTCTACTTTAAATGTCTCATACAAAGGATTTAATAACGAAAACTATCTGTTTACACACAAAAATATCTCTATTTGTAATAAAAACTCTATAATGTAACTTCATGCAGCAAAAATGATACATGATTTTTTATAAAAACTCTATTACGAAAGGGGCCATTTTGAAAATATCAATGTATATTTGAAAATATCAATGTATATCTGAAATTTCAACATTTCATTTGATTCCCAGAGTCAAATATATCCGTATTTAGTATTTCACAAAATAATTTAAACCATAAATTAAACCAAAAGTCATAAGAAACTATAAGAATATGAAAGGTATTAAAGAGAATATTCAGATATGTACAATTATCCCACCCTAAGTGCTTTATATGATTGTATAATAGCATTGTATAACTGCAATATAAAACCAACACTCATCGTATACAACTCTTGAGAACGATATACAACTCCTGGATAGCGTATACAACTCCTGGATAGCGTATACAACTCCTGGGCAGCGTATACAACTCTTCGACTTGATATACAACTGCTGAATTTAGATTAACCTTTTATTGATTAAAGATTAGGGTGGGATAATAAGATCATATAATGGTTGATTCTGTATATCGTTATACTCTCGTGAGTATATGATATATTCACTCGTTCCCTTCAGTCACTCGTGAATATATCATATACACACTTGAGTATAAACACGATATACGGAATCAACCATTATATAACCTCATAGTATCAAATACTTAACTGTACATACATGTATATATACAGTATATATATACAGTATATATTGATATTGGATAATCGTATACATGTACATGTATATCCAAACAAATCCAGTAGCTGACAAACAAATTCTTGATATAATTGTGACTATACATGGACATTTCCAAACTGATGAAGCCCAATAGTGGTTCATTTTGTACATACCTTTCAAAGGCAGGCCTTTTAACATAGTTCTCTCTTACATACTCTACTAGCTGCTTCTGTGTGCGACCACTGTACCTATAATAGTATATGTAATATATAATAGTATATATCTTTTAACATAGTTCTCCCGTACATACTCTACTAGCTGCTTCTGTGTGCGACCACTGTACCTATAATAGTATAAGAGCAAACTAGTAGTATTACTAGATATGCGTAACAAGTACATCAATCAAATGTCTTTGAAAGAACTTAAGAGTCCAGCAGTACACATGTAATAGTGCATAGTGCACATGTAATAGTGCACATGTAATAGTGCATAGTGCACATGCAATAGTACACATGTAATAGTTAAACGGGTCTAAGTGCACATTCTGCAACCATACAATTTTGGGTATATAGGCACTTCATAAGAAATAGTGAAATAATTTCAGTACACATACTTCACCTTTATATAATAGTGAGACAATAATAAATGCAACATTTATAATTACAATAGGAAGGGAAGTTATGAACCTATGACAGCAAGACAATTCAAAAAAAAATATAAAGTAGAATTTAAGGATCAACTTTATTTTATCAATCAAACTCCATGTATTACTTCATATACGCTACATATATGCTATGCATATCTCAAGCCTACAACTAGATGGAATTCCACCTACCTGAACGAAGATCCTCGACTGACAACACGAGTTCTATTTCTGGGCAGCTTTTTCACTATATGGCATCGGAAGAAGGCGTGATGCTCTATACATTTCTTCCAAAAGTTTTTACACTCATTCCTTGTATCAAAGTAGAATTCAACAGTATCTTTATAATAGCCCTGCAAAGAGAAGTTACATATTGTACATGATAAAGCTACATATTATATACAACAAATCTACATATTGTATACAAGCAAGCTACATATTGTATACAATGACGCTACATATTGTACATGATCAAAGTAGAATTCAACAATATCTTTATAATAGCCCTGCAAAGAGAAGTTACATATTGTACATGATGAAGCTACATATTGTATATAATGAAGCTACATATTGTATATGATCAAAGTAGAATTCAACAATATCTTTATAATAGCCCTGCAAAGAGAAGTTATATATTGTATACAATGAAGCTACATATTGTATACAAGCAAGCTACATATTGTATATGATCAAAGTAAAATTCAACAGCATGTTTATAAGAATAGCCCTGCAAAGATCAGTTACATATTGTACATGATGAAGTTACATATTGTACAAAATGAAACTACATATTGTATATGATAAACCTACATATTGAACATGATGAAGCCACATATTGGATACATTGAAGCTACATATTGTACATGATGAAACTACATACAGTATGTGATTAAAGTACAATTCAACAGTTTCTTTAAAATAGCCCTGCAAAGAGAAGCTATATATTGTACATGATGAAGTTACATATTGTATAAAATGAAGCTACATATTGTATACAATGAAGCTACATATTGTACATGATCAGTAGAATTCAACAGAATCTTTATAATAGCCCTGCAAAGAGAAAAAAATCAAGAATGTTAAGAGACATATCAAATTGTTAATATCCTCTGAGAGGTGAACATTGTATACAGTTTTGGGGGGTGTAGGTATTTTGTGATTGCAAGGCTTTCTTGAATTCCTGGGGTTCACTAATGAGGCAAAAGTGTAGATTTGGTTTTGACAAAGTGATCCTTCCCTGCCTTCCTTAATATTTAAGCTTCATTCAAAGTGTGATTCAATCATGTGCCTGAAACATATGCCTAAAATGGTGAATGTGACACCCACATGTGATACAACTCTATATTGTGATGAAGGCACAATTAAATATAAAGGTTATATATAAAGGTTTCCACTTTTCAGAAAGAGCAAACTCTCAATTAAATGTAAACACAATACAATGTGGACACAATCATTTTTGACACAAAAATATACAATCAATCCAGAGATTTGGCCTTAGATTGACAGATGACATACGAATTGGACTTTACAAAGTCTGAATTCTGATTCATAAACAAGCCGAAATATAAATGAGCCAATCAGATTGGCTGTAGTTCTACTTATATCATACATGTTATCTGATTGGTGCAAAATAATACGAAATACATCAAATATAAACCAATCAGAGTACAGAAACCTTTAAGTCATCCCTAATATTTATAGATATACTGAGTGATTCACATATTATAAGTTCTCCACTTTTCAGAAGGAGCAATCTCTCCAGTTTCATTAAAGGGTTCCGATTAGCATCCCGTATAAAAACAATATGGCGGCTCCAGGTAATTCAACTTGATCAGTCCATTTTTAAGAAATAAGGGGAGTTCTGTAAAATCCAGTTTATTGAAATTGTCTTTGAGATAAAGTAATCCGTTTATAATGATTTTGAAAACGTTATCCAAAGAGTGATTGCGTTCAAATAATACATGTACAACAGCCAATATAAATTCTTGTATTAGAAACCGGTTTGTTTTGCTTTGTTTTATTTGTAGGATATTTCATATGCCAAGCTGTGTGCTATTACGTTATGGGGAAATTTAGATGCAAATTTTTCCTTATTATACACAAATTGAAGATCCTGAAACTTCACCCATAAATGTGGAATTGATTTGTCAAAATAAGAATCACCCTTTTATAAATGTGTGACGATCTATAATATACTTATGCTATATAACAGTTAGAGGTGTTGACACAACGACCTCGAACCTGTGAACCCTTGAGTATTATTCCGGGATCGGGCCTTTTATACTAAACGGTGAGCAACACCAGAAACGAGCGTTCGATTTGCTAAACGATATGCGTCACCCTTTAAGACAACATTAAAAGCACAGCAATAGGCAATTGCAGAAGCAGACAAACTGTCACAATAATACAATGAAGTTACATATTGTAAACAATGAAGCTACATATTGTAAACAATGAAGCTACATATTGTATACAATGAAGCTACTTATTATATAGGTACAATGAAGCTACATATTGTATACAATGAAGCTATATATTGTAAACACTGAAGCTACATATTATATAGATACAATGAAGCTACATATTGTATACAATGAAGCTACATATTCTATATATTGATATCTATGGACATGTTCCATGGTGATTTGAGGCATATATAGTATTTGGCCATTCAGCATATACAGGTTAATCATTTACAATATCTGTATAAAAATAATAAAATCTCTCCTCTTGAGAAGCTTTCATGCAAGACCCTTGTAAAAGGTAATCATTTTGCATAGACTTTACTTAATAATGACCAGCCATGTGGCATATGCATGTGTTAGCAGAGCCAAAACTTAGCATTTAATTATCTATGAATCAGGTCAGACCTTCAAAAAAGCACCACAATACCATTTTCATCATATTTTGCTGGGCTTGCATGGCTTTAAAAGAAAATGCATGCATATAGAGGAAGCACCCTTAGCATTCTTGGAGACATTTGCAATAGGATAATATTTATATATTACAGACAGACGATTTGTGAAACCTCATTAGGAGAATTTAGAACTCTGTGAAAAGATCTTTATTTTAATTATTGTTCCATCAACTATTATGATGACATCAAACCATTATGATGACACCAACCTATAATAATGATGACATTCAGTTATGATGACATCAAACCATTTATTCACATGATAGGGCCAAATGTGCGTATATAACCATACAGTGAGGACCAAAATACAACATCCGCATGCATCACCACCACAGTCTGATGAAAATAAAAAACTGAGAAAATGGCGTCAATATTTCTGGTTCTGCCGTATTTCCCAGAATTCATTTCCAAGATGGCGGGCGGCCAGTCGTGCCTTACTCACTGTTGGGATTTTGCTGGCTGTGTCAGAGTGTTTACTGTACCCTACCAACTGCAAGCATATATAACAACGGGTTCAATTGCATTATGGGATGTTTGTGTTGCATTGTGGGGGTACTGAATGCTGCGTCATTCTTAAATTGCATCGTGAGAGTTTTTATTTATTTACAATCATTGTACTTTTAATGTTCCATCTTGGGAGTTATAATATATTGCATCATGGGAGTTTTAATATTGCATCATGGGAGCTTTTGTCGCATCATGGGAGTTTTATATATTGCATCTTGGTAATTAATTATTTTATTATTTGGCTTCACCTTGTGAAATAAATACATGTATGTTTCACTTTTGTTGGTGGATTCATTGAGCTATTGAGGAAATCAAAATTTAGTACAGAAAATTTTGCATTTGAAGATAATTGTACTCAAGATGTTCAATATACGGACAATCTACAGACAACAAATACACTGATAATCACAGTATATAATACATATGGAGTGCATATTTGAGATACAGTGTGTGAAGATGTGTTTTAATTCACACTGGCCAGTAGAGTGGGCTACAGTAACCATGGTGATGATGCATGAAGTGATGTCCATCTTTATGAGAAGTATAGACAGCATTTTATTACATGTATATATCCTCTTGACTAGAGGCAGAATCAGATATAGCGAGCAAGTAAATTTCACGTTTAGATGTTTTTGAGGGTCTTGTTATATCAATTTTCAAAAAATACCTCGTGTTCATACTTTATTCAAGGAACACTAAAGATTTTTACATGTACATTTTTACATTGTGTTCTTATTCTTCATTTGGAAATATTGCACTTTGAATTTGACAACTTCACTCGCTGTGATCACAGATCTTTCGAGAGATAATATATTTGAGATGGTCAATTGTATGCTTGCAATATCATCTAATTCTGCCTTTAGGATAATGTCCTTCATATGGCAAAATCCTTCGTGTGTTGAGGCTTATTCAGATCTAAGAAGAGATGAAAAAGCAGTATAGAGAGACAAACTGTTTCATGCACATGCAGATTTCCATGAAAGAATGATAGTATGATAAATACAATTATAATGTTATGGAACCTGGTACATAAGTACTAAAATCTGGTACATAAGCACTGGAACCCGGTACACGAGTACTGGAACCTGGTACACGAGTACTGGAACCTGGTACACGAGTACTGGAACCTGGTACACGAGTACTGGAACCTGGTACACAAGTACTGGAACCTGGTACATGATTACTAGAACCTGGTGGTAGATGTATACATCATACATCTCATACATTGAGTACTAGAACCTAGTACATGAGTACTACAATCTGGTACACAAATAGGTGGACCTACAATCTGTAAGGAATGTTAGAAGTACAGGCTTTCTAAAACATCACTCAAACAGTGGGGTTGATATAGGGAGATGGAGAATCTGGTGAATACATACAGATACAGTCATGTCTAATGCTTCCGACCCAAACATATAAAAATCATTGTGCACTCAGGCAAACTGTTTTCTAATCAGATCTAAAATGAAGACAAATATATAATGCACTTTGCAAACTTGTAGAAACTTGGGAAAAGTGCGTACTTCTGCACTGAAAAGGTACACTTGCACTTGTGTAGGGTACATGCGTACCGAAAGCAGTCACTCAAACTTTTAAACACTCACCATCCCATTGTAATAAGCAGGGATATGTGTTTGTTCATCTCCATAGCCTAGACATAGCTACATAAGAAGAAGTCTACTATTAGTCAAGCCTACACAAGCACTGGGAAGGCATTGTTAACAATAAAGCAATGTATATAGAAAACATACAGTTATAGAGCAAGTGTACTGGCACAGAATAACATACCATGATTGAACAAGTGCATATGTACTGGTATTGAGTAAACATGAAGTTATAAAGGAAGTGCATATGTACTGGTATTGAGTAAACATGAAGTTATAAAGGAAGTGCATATGTACTTTTTTTTTTTTTTTTTTTTTTATTTATTTATTTTATCCACCATATTTGATGTGTTTAAATAAATTTTACATTATTTACTTATAATTATAACATATGTATATGATATACAATTTAATTATAGTTACAGACCAGACTCTGGTCTATTTATGTACATTTTATGGATGTAAACAGCAATTTGCTTATATTCCTCGACATCAAATATCTCCCCTGCACCAAAAATTGCTCCAAGAATCATCTCTTTTGGATAATTTTGTGCTGGTTTGAAGATATTATGTACAATTTCCAAAATATTAGATCTTAAAGCATCATGACCTTCACAGTCCAGTATCATGTGTGATAGTGTTTCTGGTTCTTTATAGCACATTTTACATAATACAGAAATTTTTCCGTTAGACCACCTATTGACATTAATCATTATGTTTCCTTCTCCCAACAGTAGTTTAACCACCGTCCTGCAACACTTCAAAATTCTAGGATCTAATTTAGCTACCTTCCACCATATTATAGGCTGGATGTCATGGGTTACTATTCTGAACAATGGCAATTTTCTTGACAATATACATTCAATTTGCCAGTTACGTAATTCAAATAAATGTACCTTACTCTTCACAATATTTTTCCACTGTAACTTTGAATAGACGTGTCCATTAAACATTTCATAGACCATTTCATCTAGCTGATATGCTTTTGCCATCTTAATACAATTCCCTATAGGAGAAAATTTGTTGAGATCTTCGTATGTTGCACTAAGGAGGCGTAAAATGATAAGTTTCTTGTAAATACTTGGAAATGGTAAAGATAAAAGTTGCCATAAAAGCATAAGTTTACTTATAACAATGTTCGATGTTAAAGAATGCCATCCTAAAATTGAAGTTGAGGCTGCGTTGCTAGTGGTCTTGGGGATTCCTTGAATTTTCTTAGCTATTCCCCTGTGGCCACTTTCAAGGCACTCTAACTCAGATTCATTTAGTGGTAAGAGTTCCATACCATACGTTATAGATGGGACACAGCATGTCCAATATAAGCGAGAGACAGTGAGAGGATTTGTAGGATTATTAACAGTGGATGACACTCCAATATAGGCATTGATAGCTCTTCTGCCTTTTGAAAGGGAATTTTCAACGTGGGAAATATGTGACTTATTCGCTAAAGGCAGGCCTAAATGTTGTACAGTGTCATTCACTTCAATGGTCCTATCACCAAGAGACAAAATGGGTTTGTTTACATGCTTCTTATTTGAAAAAACGATTGCTTGACACTTATCCGGATGGTATTGGAACCTCCATTTCACACTATAATCATATACAATATCTAACATTTTTTGCATTGATTTTGCATGATAAGCTATAAGAACTGTATCATCAGCAAAAGAAGGACATGATACAATTATGTTATTGATTTGACAACCTGCTTTAGATTCCTGGATAATATTAAGTAGTTCATTTGTATATAATGAGTACAATTCCATCGAGAGGATTCCTCCCTGATGAACCCCCCTTTCTACTAAGAAGGGATCAGACAAGGGGGAGTCATTAGTGATCTTTACTGAACAAGTGAACCCTCTATATGAACACCTGATTAATCGCCATAATTTACCATTAATTCCTTGATTGAAAAGTTTGAATAAGAGGCCATTGTGCCACACGCTGTCAAAAGCTTTTTTGATGTCCAGTGACGTCACAATGACGTCATTGCCATTTTCTAAGCCATAAGAGATTGCTTCACGAGTCAGTAAAGATGTATGAACACTTGAACACTTCTCAACACCAACACCTTGCATGTCTGATTTTATCTCCCTACGCGGGCATTTCTGAGATCTGTTAAGCATTAACCGTTCAAATAATTTCATGAAGGTTGTTAATAGGGTGATCCCTCTATGATGATCCTTATTTAAGCAATCTTTATTTCCCCCTTTAAAAAGAGGGAGAATGACACCTAATTTGAAAGATCTGGGAATGTGTTCTAAGATAATGATATGATTGAACAATGTCACTAGGACCTGGATCACAGGGAGACCCCCCTTAGATAAGTGTTCAGAACTCACTAAGTCCCATCCAGGAGCTTTATTATTAGACATCTTTGAGCACATCTTAGTCATTTCATTTACATCAATTGGTTCAGTAAAACTTAAATCATTCATGAGTTTACTTTCTTTCTCCATTCTATCTACTGAAGTATTCACCATGTCAAAAAACTGTTGGTCATATAAATTATCATGATTACCATGAGCGGACATTAGATCTTTAAAGTAAGTCCTCCACTCATTTGTGACCTCCAGTACATCAGTAAGTATAGTGCCATCATCAGACTTTATTGCTGGGATACTATTAACCCTCGGTTTTCTCTTTTTAACAAGATACCAGAATTGGTTAAGTGATAATTCTTCTAATTTATCTATTTCCAACTGACATTCGTTTTCATAAACCTGTTGGGCTTTTCTAAACTCGCGTCTGAAAGACCTTTTTGCATTTTTATAATTATCCCAAAACATATTACCTCTAGTCCTGGGTTTACCATGTTTAACCCATTCATTCCAGGATTTCTTTTTACACTTGACTAGTTCTTTCAGAATAGGAGACCAATAAGGCTTTAAATGTCTGCAATATTTAGATTTAGGTAGATGTTTGTTTGCTGCATAGTGTAAAATCTGAGTAAACATGTCAAAACATTCCTCTAATAATACATTATTTGAAATATGTTCATCAAGACTAGACATCAAAGGGTTAAGATACTGATTTATTAATGATTCTAATTCCTCTGTATAATCTCTTAAATTCCCCTCAGAGACTTTTTTCCATGCAATTTTTGTGGAATGACTTGTTTGTTGGTTCTTAAGAATAATTCCTTCTTGAATTAGGAGTTTAACTTTAATTGGTAAGTGATCAGAGAAGTTCAGAGGATCATTCTCAAGAACCATTATATAGTCACATTTACTAACTAATCGTTCACTCAAAATGCAATGATCAATATAAGACTGACCTGTGTAGTCCCTAAAGAAGGTGTAATTTGGGCCTTGACACATAGGGAGCATGTCAACTGGCATTAAGTTAGAGCGTTTACACATATTTAACAGGTTTACACCATTAGCCGAGATTGACCCTGCCCCCCTTGTACCAATGTTCTTGCCAAAATCAGCATTAAAATCACCCATTAAAACAGTGTCACCATCACCTTGTAAATCATTAATTATCACCTCAAGCCTATCTAATACTTCAAGGAAGTTATCATTCTTACATCGCACATGTGGTAAATATACACAAATAACATAAAGGTGATGAATACCAGGTCTTAATATTTTAATAACCATGTATCTATCACTTTTGTATTTCGTAACATGAATAATATTTTGGTTTAACGATTTTTTCCAGAAAATAGCAATTCCACCATTTCCAATTATGTGACCTTGATTTAGGGGATCAAGTGTGGTACTACTTTCTGAAACACAAGTAAAGTCAGGATGAATATCATAAAGTTTGTTTAGCGAACCTGGATATAACCAATGTTCTGTGAGGCAGAGAATATCAGTTTTATCGAGCAATGAGTTTAAATAAGGGCTGCTGGCATTAAAACCATTCGCATTCCATGCAGTTATTTTAAGATTATCTGCTGTTTTCATATTTTGGTAGTTACTATGTTTATTGAAAGTACTGGGTGCAAGGAATAAGGACGATGTAAGCACAATTAATGATAATGTTGTCAGAGCCATCATTCCTCATAACATTCTTCAACGCAGGAATCACGCCAATCAATGTAAGAAGTATACTCTTTTGAAGCATGGTAAATGTTGTCATAATCAATATCATCAAGCCTGGGAGCATTATTACGACGGCCTTTTGGCACCCATTCTCTGCATTGCACTGGAGAAGGCCAAGCAGAGGGGGACATTGCACGTTCAACATTGGATTTTGGCACAATAATCTTGCATCCAACTCTATACTGGGACACTTTATTATGCACAACATAGCTTTGCATAATACGTATATTTTGATTTTTAGCATGTGCTGACACCTGGTGTTTGATATCCTCATTAGTCTCACCCTCACATATCTCAATGTTCTCCAAGTATAAGGTAATACCAGATTCAGATTTGACACCTCTGAGAAACCGTGTTGAAGAATTAGCTCCGCTAAGGCCACGAATCGTTGGCTTACTGGCAGTTGACCTTAGATCGAGACGAGGGGGAGGGTTTTTTGGCCTTTTACGTCGTACAACATCTGACCAAGTTTCTCCATCTGCTACAGGATCAGACACAATGACTTCAATGGGATTCTGCGTTGGGTTTCGTGCGCGCTGCGTAGCATTAGGCTTTTTTGAGGTTTCCTTTCCTGGTGCACGGGGTTCAGGAGCAGATGCATGGCGACCGCGACCCCTTCCCCTACTAACGCGAGGGGAGATCACAATACCAGAGGGGATATCCTTACGGCAGATATCATTAGGAGGGACAGCAAGGGAGGGATTAGCCTTGGTAGGAACATCCCTAGCTGGTGGATCCTTTGAACTTGATTTTTTTTCAATAAGCGTTGCGGGGGCAGGTGGTACATGTATTGGGACGTTTGTGGATTTTTTTGGATCAGACGGTTTGGAACTCAGTGAAGATTCTTTTATCGCCATTACAGACTTCATTCTTTCATTTAGCACTTTTATCTCCTGATCATGAGACTTTTGCATTTGTAATATTTTACTATTGAGCTCACAGATCTTCTCAGACAATTCAATAATCTTTAATCCATGTTCCTGTATAACAGCTCTAGGAACAGTGAAGGGTTTAGGCTTGCGTATTTCAGGGATTTGACTGCTACCTGCCAACACATGTTTGGGGAAGTCCTCATATAGGTCTGTGGAGTACGCATATAAATCGTATATATCATTACATATGCTGATTGTCTTTTTATCACCAGTTCGACGTTTTGCTTTAAGCTCATCCGTTTGATCCTGTCCCCTAATCTCTGGGGGACCATAGATATTTTTTAACACATCTGAGAGCTTATCACGGCACAAGGAAAACAATATGTCTCTAGTTTCCTCCAAAAGCTGTTCATCATAGTCATGAATGAGAGTTTCGATAACATCTTGTCGAGTATTACAGTCAATAGACTGCAAAATAATATCAATGGTGGTGTCCAAAGGGTTAACTGATGCCATGGTGTTAAGGCATGATAAATGTTTGTTATTGTTTACACCAGCTTAATTGGGGTAGAAAAACTTAGTAATTAGTCAAATATGACCAAGTAAAAAAGGTCCTTATTAAGCAATATACAGTTTATCCAGCTGATATGGCCAATTAAGCTTCCAAAAATATGGCCTAATTTCTGATCAGCTCACAAAGATTCAAGAAAAACCATACCTTTTCCTTTCAAATACGCATTTTTGAGGCATAAATATTCCATAAAGACAGTATATCCAGAAACCCGGAGGTTTTATGATTGTCCTCATGTACCAATATTTTACTAATGTGTTTTTACTAATGTGTAATCCGCTAAAAAGTAGGAGCTCCAAAAAACTTGACTTCATCTACCTTTGACCTTTGATCATCATCTGGTATTGAGTAAACATGAAGTTATAAAAGAAGTGCATATGTACTGGTATTGAGTAAACATGAAGTTATAAAGGAAGTGCATATGTACTGGTATTGAGTAAACATGAAGTTATAAAGGAAGTGCATATGTACTGGTATTGAGTAAACATGAAGTTATAAAGGAAGTGCATATGTACTGGTTTTGAGTAAACATACAGTTAAACAGCAAGTGCACATGTACTGGCACAGCATAAACACCATAATTGAGCAAGTACATATGTAGTATTAGAGAGTAAACACACAGCTAGAACAAGTGCACATGTACTGGTACTGAGGACATATAAGGTTATAGAGGAAGTGCATATGCACTGGTACTGAGTTGACATTGAGTTATAGAGCAAGTGCATTTATACTGGCATAAAGAATATATCAAAGCACAAATGGCAAAAAATAATTATTAGCCATTGATTAACAATACTAAACATACAGTTATAGATCAGAGTAAGTGCATTTGCACTTGTACAAAGTAAACATGCACTGAAATATCAAGTACACTTGTACTGAGTAAGCGAACACTTATATATTGTTACCTCAAAAAAATTTAATTATACTATTTTTTCGTTATGTATACTTAATTTAAGTTAATGCATTTTTTTGTTTCAGTGACGAAAGAAAGCAGTTATCAAAATATTTTGAAAATTGCCCATGAGGTGTCTTTTTGTCTTTTTCATGTCAATGTGTAATACTGTATCTGAAACATTTGAAATAAAGTGAATTGAATTGACAAAAAAATCAAATGGTACCAAAATGAGCAAAATGAGTTCAACCATGGTACAAGTAAGTATCTGTGATATGCTGTGGAATAACTACAGGGAATAGCATGCACACAAAAGAGGTTGCCCAATCCCACAATTCATCCTGAATATATATGTTTATGAGATGGGGAACTTATCTTTGTTACTGACCTGGGAGACATTAATAGAAACTTTGTAAAGTTAGGAATTCGTAAAAGTCCATTGTTCTTACTGTGATATCTTTGTATCCATGGTTATGACAATTGTTTTATTAACTCAAAACTTTACGCCGATTCTGTTCTTATTTCTATGAATTTCTGTACAATATACCCTAGATAATGTCATTTATAACTAAACAAGCCATCTGAAGCAAAGAGCAAAATCATTTCATCCGTAAAGCATTGAAATCTGGACTGCGGTAACTATGTTCATGCTACTAAGCATATAATCCCACAAATAACCCAATGCCAACATGTAACGAAACATATATCAATACTTACATAGCCTTCTGGATGAAGTTTTATCAGGAACTTTTTCCGTTTGAAGCTAAGTTTGCGTATTTTTGCCCAAGAGAAGGTGTTTATCTTGGTTTGGTTTTGAAAGACTAGTACTCCCATATGGGCCACAGCTAATGTCAGTGGGACACCTTCATGGTCCTGCAAAATAAAGGTACAGTCAAGCCACTTCTATTCTCTGTATGAAACACTGGCATGTAGCGATTATAGCGGTCCTGTCTTGGCTTATTGAATTGTTACGAAGTTACGTATGCGGTGCGGAAGTTAGAGAGCAAATGACCATCATTTCAATGTAATAGTTTATGCAGGAAAATTGAGATTAGGCCATTGGAGTATTTGTTTCATGCATTTGTAAAACGTTACCCACTCATAGGTCATACTTATCGTTAAACCAATAACTCAAATATATGCCCTTGTACACCGATCACCTGTTGAAATTAATACAGGCCGATTTCAACAAATGTAAACGGCGATATATTTAAAATCGTATTCAAGCATGACCACGTCCCAACTTCTTTTGTTTTCTTTACAACTAAGCTATGACTGCAGTCTATTCAGTGTTGCGTATCGAACCTTGTTTATTATAAAAATAGTGCAACAACAAGCAGAATTCACACATTTACCTTATACTTATTCTCAACTGAAGACATTGAATTTATCTCTTAGGTTTTACATTATAAATATCTTAACATGCAGAATACGAAAATAGAGGCTTAGGCCCAACTTTGTATGAATTTTATGAGAATAATCTGATTTTAGAGAAATGAAAAGAAAAATGTCCACACACTACACAAAATATTTATGGTTCCCCGGGAATACGTATGTGCTGCTTGTATATTAGAATCGTATTCCAGTTACAGAAAGAAGTACATATCATGCTAAACTATATACAACAGTTATGCACTTGGAGGTTTTGGATACAGGGAATATCCCGAGGGATACATAATATGTCTTCCCTTGGTCCCTCGGGAAGAAATATTGTATATCTCTCGGGATATTCCCTGTATCCAAAACCTCCAATTGCATAACCCCTATATAATGGCCAAGGGATAATCCCAATATCCTGACTATAGGATAATATGTTTATCCCATACCAATCTTGGTCATCTGGTTCACATTGTTAAATCGTGGAAATATTTTAGAATATTCATGTCCAGTTTTGTTTTCTTGGTCGTGGGCGGATTTTCATGTTCTCTCAAATAATCCCATATTTATTTTCTCGAATTTTTTATTGATAAAGTGGATGCTCTCTCCCTTTTTTAACTATCAAACAGACCCTGATTGTCTGTGTTTTCTCCATTGCCGTTTACAGTCATTCCGCGAACGTTACAAATTATGAACAAATATGCAAGCGGCGATTATGACGTAGCGGGCAGATATACTACATCTGCCCGCTTGGAGCGGGACGTAAAGCTTTATCCCATGGTTGCAAGGAGGATATAGATCGAATATCACATGATGATATATTTGATATGTGGATCAAGATATCATATTTTAGCAAACAATTTACGAACCATCGAATATCACTTTTAAACTATCGAATATCACATCTTAAATAGAGGATATCCTATGATTTATGAGTGATATGATTTTTATCCATGAATGGATATGATATCTGCACGAGTGAGCGTAGCGAGAGATTAAAATCATATCACGAGTAAATCATAGGATGTTCTTTATATTCCATAGTTAAAGTCATCATCAGAATCTTCGGGAATTAAGTGATCTAAAACGAATTTTCCAAACGATACGGCGATATTGACACTTAGCCTCGTTTTGAGTCTAAAGTAGCAAAAATCCATAAACCATGGCATGACGGCGCCGCATGTCATGGCTAAAACACCGTATGCTATGGTTACACGCGGTAGTATCTCTTCGGGACGTATCGAAACCACTCCGTCCCGAAAAACCGTTAATTTGAATTTAAAACCTACCCCAGTGTTTGAAAATCAAGGATTGTGAGTCTCACACTTCACCGTTTTTCTTCAAACTTGTTCCGTACAAAGCTTCACAGAAATACCTTTCAGTCGATACATTGTTTTCGTGTACAAAGTACCTCGTTTTAGCGGCGTTTTGGTCCCCAGCTGTGAGATAAAGCAAATTTTCATAACTTTCAACTGTAAGTCAAGTTATCTCGCCAGGCTTTTACCCATTCTCGCTCATAATTTCAGAATGGACTCCCATTACAAACCTTCCATCGCTACGTTTTGATTTTTGGGCATCAAACGCAGCAGTTTCTAAATCATCCACACATCTCTTAAAATTTGACTAATACGTCCCGTCACCTTCCACTACGCCCCGCCGAGTCTATGACTACAAACGTGGAGTTTTCATGGGGAGGCGGTAATAGAATCTGAAGCAGGTCCTTTACCGGGATAATAGTTTCAATAATGCAGTAGCAAGTTTCGTGAAATTGGTGACAAAATATACTTTTACATGATACTGTCCCCTCCATAAGTTTGGCAACCTTAGCATTGTGTTAAAGCCTATTTATGTTTGAATTTTTATCTACATAACCTGCGGGGGAAATACTTATAAAATTGACGGAAATATAACTTGACTTTATTCCCAATACCTCCAAATTTTCTTGATGTTTTTCCTCAATTACAATAGATCGGAAATGGATGATAAATCTGATGAATTTTTGAAAATCGACATTCCCATGTAAACCCATGAGAATTGATATGTTTGTCGCATGCCATACGACAGAATATCCATCAATCTGAGTACTAGATATAGCAAAAAGTACAAGTTAGGTACAGTAGACAGCTGAATTTGCTATCTTTATTTAACAAAAAGTTGATACGTTTCTTCAGGTTCAACAAAGTTATAGGTTAGGGTTGTCCAAATCTGCAAAATTTTCCAAAAATCTGTCATCTGATAGATTCTAGTTACAAATTGACTCTTGGTACAAATATTTCCACTCTAGACCCCTGGGAAATTTTGCCACGCGTCTCACTTGAAGTTTTGGTAATTTTGACAAATATGCCGTTTTCATAAATGGTTTATAACTCAAAATTAAACTGTTGTATTTCAGGAATATGTATTTTTTCTTCATCATGTATAATTTTCAATAAGCCTACAGGCACCACTTTTTTTTAGCTAAATCCATCGGGAAACTTTGCCACGCTTAATTTCAAAATAACGGAGATGTTATCAAAATTGAGCAATATTGGCACAAAAACGTTTCTAGATTCATATAAAGAATGCATCATCATACAACACTAATTGGTATATAAACAACATCTACTGACTTGGTCTGATAATGTTATATAAAGATTTTAACTGTTGTGTGTCAACCTTTCTTCTGTATGATTCCATTGGATTACATTATGAAACGTGTACCATATAAAATGATACATGTTTCTAACGTTATGCTGAAAATAATATAATTGACATCACCCATCCTCTCGCATTTAACATTTTTCAAGGATAGGGCACTTTAAACGTTTCTTAAAAATATTTTCAATTGTTCAGTAATTAAAATCTTTATATTGCAATATCGGGAAATCTAAATTTTAGGGAGATTTTGGACCACCCTATTATAGGTATATTGAAAATGGACAAGAATGGGTAAATCTTAAAACACAATCCGATTGGTATTTAGAATCGACAATGACAATGGCAACCTACAAACGGACACATCGATGGACAAATTGTTTTAGAATGCAACTCTACGTGTATAGTGATAGACTCGGCGGGGCGTAGTGGAAGATGACGGGACGTATTGGTCAAATTTGAAGAGATGTGTGGATGATTTAGAAACTGCTGTTTTTGATGCCCAAAAATCAAGACGTAGCGATGGAAGGTTGTAATGGGAGTCCATTCTGAAATTATGGGCGAGAATGGGTAAAAGACTGGCGAGATAACTTGACTTACAGTTGAAAGTTATGAAAATTTGCTTTATCTCACAGCTGGGGACCAAAACGCCGCTAAAACGAGGTACTTTGTACACGAAAACAATGTATCGACTGAAAGGTATTTCTGTGAAGCTTTGTACGGAACAAGTTTGAAGAAAAACGGTGAAGTGTGAGACTCACAATCCTTGATTTTCAAACACTGGGGTAGGTTTTAAATTCAAATTAACGGTTTTTCGGGACGGAGTGGTTTCGATACGTCCCGAAGAGATACTACCGCGTGGGTTAAGTGAAAATTTGCCAAAAATATCATATTTTACCACTGATTTCAAAAATACCGTTTTTATTTTGACATGTTATCCTATGGATATCATGCTAACTATGGAATAATATAGGAATATCCTATGGCTCTGAAAAAATATCACTTATATCCATGAGTGGATATTGATATCTTCGCGAGTGAGCGCAGCGAATGAGTGAAGATACTGATATCCATGAGTGGATATAAGGGAACATGGGGCAAAGCGGCCCAAAAAATTTAATTTTAAGTTGTTCTGTACGCGGTATTTTCGTATCTGTCAATCATCGCGCACTTTGATGTTCCACTTTATTAATGGTTTGTGGTTTACATTTTTCGAGTGTTTTATACTTTCCTAGGACTATCTTCTGTGATTTTTCAATGGTCAAAAATATTGTCGAGAGTGGGGCAAAACGGCCCATGGGTGGGGCAAAACGGCCCACCCTCTGTTACATGGGTTTTGAAACCAAAATTAATCAATTACAAGACTCGTCCACAAACATCTTATCTCAGACGTTCAAACCTTTGACAGATAAAGTATTCTTAACCCCTACCATAATTCTAGTCATTCGATATGTGTCGGAAGGAAATTAGGCACAAGCCAGATGTTAAAATTGTTACATTTGAAAACCAATTGTTCTTGCACAATAAGATTTTTGTATGTTATAACATGTGTGGGCCGTTTTGCCCCAAAGACATGTGAATTATCAAATAGACGCCATTTTAATTTGCCTAATATTTGAAGCTCGAAATTTTTACAAACAAATAATAAATGTGCACACTCTATGTAAAATGTTACATCGAAACGATATTCTATTGTTGCCGGATTTTTTAGAGATTCTCGTGAGAGGGGTAATTTCCAAAAAAGAGGGTGAAAAGTAGAATTACCTCTTACGTAAAGCGAGACGCTGCTTGGTTAAAAATGGACGCTCGAGAAGGTGGCAGATATTTCAAAATTCGATTTTGTGACTTTTGAAGAACCATCT